TCTCCTGCCTCAGCCTCCCAAGTAGCTGGGACCACAGGCGCCCGCCACAACGCCCTGCTATTTTTTGGTTGCAGCCGTCATTGTTGTTTGGCGGGCCGAGCTGGATTCGAACCTGCCACCTTGGGTGTATGTGGCTGGTGCCTTAGCCACTTGAGCCACAGATGCCGAGCCCAAACTCTTGGTCTTAAGCGATTCTCTTGGCTCAGCCTCCTGAGTAACTGGAACTACAGGCTCCTGCCACAACACCCAGCTGTTTTTTGGTTGCAGTTGTCATTGTTCTTTAGCAGGCGCGGGACTGGGCTCCAACCCAACCCTACTCACTGAGCTACAGGCACAGTAAAAGCACTTAGCACGGCCTTGTAATAAGCATTCCATGGATGTTAGCTGCTGCTGCTATAGTTTTTCTGTTCTCTTGTTCATTGTAGTATTTTTCAGCACTTAATGCCTTGAACATAATAGGTAAGCAAAGATATTTATTGAGTTGATAATTCTGTTACCATTATGATAAATTGTTTTTAATGGTACATAGTTTACATTTTTTTTACTAGTGTTTGTTACCTATTACCCTAGATATTCCTTTTTATAATCTGTAGTTCCTAATTTGCTGTATTCTGAAAAAACAGGTAATCAACTTATTTGGGATCATATTTGTTTTTTGTTTGTTCTTCTTATTGTAGGATCATGTTTAAGAGTAAAAAGTTTCCAGTGATTGGTGGAAGGGGATTTGAGCTTTAATACACATTCGAGTGTTTCTGGAATGGGCTAATCAGAAGCTTTCATTAGCCTGATTTGTGTTTCTCAACCATGCCTTTAATAAATGATGTTTCATAATGAACTGTTCCTGAAGTAGTGGTGGGTTACTACTGTGTATTATTTTATGATGTTATGCTTAATCATAATTAACAAAAATTGTTTTTAATAACAGGGATGTAGTACAACTCTCAATGCTTGAAATGAGACACAAGATAGCAGAACTGGAAGCCAAACTCAATAATGACAATGAAGGTATATAAGTAATTATTTATGTGTGACTCTTATATAATTATTTTTCATTTTACCAAAATACCTACAGTCCATTAAATTCCATATATTGAATATGGAATATAGTACCAAGATTTCAGTGTTGCTTTTTTGGTGGTATTAATAAATATATTTTTTTTAATTGCTGGGAATTCATTGAGGGTACATGGAACCAGGTTATATTGATTGCTTTAATAAAAATTTTTCATAGAGGTTTTAAAACTGATACTTCACAGTGTAAACCTAATACTATTTAATCATTTTTCTACCTTACAAGTTTTAAATGTTTATCATTTGGCAAAGCCTTTATTATATGACATAAATATATTATTTCATTTGTAAATAATGAAATATCACAACTTTTCTTCTATTCAACTCAAGTCATAACCTTCATATCTTAACTTTTGGATTTGGGGTATAACTTTAGCTATTTATTTACAACACATATCCCTAAATTTTTTAATGTATGCAGCATGTTAATTCATTCCACAAATATTTATTGATTGAGACACCACCATATGTCAACATTTTGAATGGAAGATTCTTTTTCTGGTTCTAAAGAGTTTCATGACTACTGGGAGAAAGTGTCAAACTAAAAATACGAATAAGAGAAGTAATACAAGTTCTGTGTAAGGAGAAATGGAAACTTAGGGAAGAGGCATCTATTACATCTATTACAACACTGGTGAGCTGATAAAGACAAATTTTCCAGAAGAAGCAGTGCTTGGACTGGATGCTAAAGAACAGTAGGGGTTGATTAGGGTTGTTTGAGTGGGCTTGGTTCTTAAACTCATTTTATTCTCTTCCTCTTTTGGAGAGCTATGAATCAAAAAGATAGTAGCCATTTGAGAAATAAAATGCTACTTTCTTTACCCAATGCTTTGTTAAAGCTTTATTGAAGAATACTGCTTTGTCCCAAGGCTAAAGTAACTCCATATATCTTAGATATATATCTGGCTTTGTAGGGATGTAATCTGGGTGTACCTAACCAAGTACAGTAATAGATCCTCTGAAGTTGACCACTCAAGGCACTGTAACAAACTGGTCATACAGAGGTGGTCAACGTAAGGAACTTGGCCTCCTGTACTGATATGTACATGTGGTACATGTCCAGTCTATGAAAATGAGGTCAACTTGAGGTGGTCAATGTGGAGAGAAGGTCAACTATGGAGGTTCTACATGGTTGCATTGGCAGAGTAGCTGGTATTTCCTTATCTACTTAGTTACAGAAAAAGCAGAAGGCATGGCCACATATAATGGAATAACAATACCCACCAGTAAAATATAGCTCAACAAGTCTTCCTATCAACAGTTCTCATGAGGAGGAGCTAGTAATATGGGTACAAAGAGCAAAGGCCACAGTGGTATTAGAAAAAGTTCTTTCCTGAGCAGGCAAAGCTAAGGCCTAGAGTGAAGGGCAGAAAAATTTACCTCTTCCTTAATTTTTTATTAAAAAAGATCTTTGTCAGACAAGGTTGTTGTTATCATATCATCCCCACTTATAGAAAAATGAAATTCAGGAATTTAAATAACTTAATAAGGCTCCATAATCAAGGAATGGCAAAGCCATGATTTACTCCTAGCTCATCTATCTTCCATTACTACTATTTCTACTATAATTGACATCTACCACATCAGCACTCAGAACTTTTGCTTGTCTACTGTTGCATAGCAAATGACCCTTTGATTTAAGAGCTTAAAATAATATAAATTATCTCACAATTCTGTGAATTAACTGGGTTGGTTCACGTGTATAATACTTGAGGGGGTCTCTCATTTGGTTGCTATCAGGCATTACCTAGGGCTCAGACATCTGAAGCTGAGGGTTCAACTTGGCTGATCATTCCAAGATGATGCACTCACATGGCTGGCAGCGGACACTGGCTGTTGACTGAGAGCTCAGCTGGGACTGCCTGTCAAAATTGCCTCTTGTACCTTTTGTTTCTCACAGCATGGTAGCTGGGTTCCAAAATGTGTCCTAAGAGTAAGCATTCCAAAAGGCACAAGTAGAAACTGCCAGGCCAATTAAGAACTACTTCCAGAACTGGCACAGTGTTATTTCAGCTGAATTCTATCTGTATTAAAGTGGGTGGAGAAATAGACTCTGCTTCTCAAGGTCACATTACAGAACAACATGCGGGATGGGAAATTTTAATGTCATCATCTTTGGAAAATACAACTGCCACAAGGGCATTAAACATAAAGCTATTTGGGGGAGAATGCTAAGTAACTGATAAAGATGAACATAGATTACAATGAGGGTGTGGTAGGAGATGAGATTAAGGTTTATGAAAGAGATAAATCAAGAGTCTTTAAATGTGGTGCTAATGAATTTGCATTTATTCTGAAGGCAACAACGCAATATAAAGGTTTTAAAATAAATGTATTGTTTTAACATTACAAAAGAAGTATATGCACATGTGACAACTATGGGTACAGGCACACCTGCATGTACCTGTTTTCAGGCTTGTCCAGCCCCAGGATGCATGTGGATTGTGTGAGGACATTTTTGCTTGTCTGTGGTGGCAGATAGGAAAATTTGGAACTCACCTCAGCAAAAGCTGTTGCTTATCAGCTTTCATTAGTGTTTGTATATTTAATGTGTGACCCAAGACAACTCTTCTTTTACTGTGGTTCAGAGAAGCCTGGTAGATAATTCTTTCACATTTTCTACTTCCTCCTCAAATCCTACCCCCTCACTCTGTTATACTCACTCTCAGCCCAGGAGCTTTCCTTCCCTTTTCAAAGAGAGAGAAGAAGCCAGCTTCCACATTTCCACCAACAAAGCTACCACGTACTTGCCTCTTTGCACATCCTCTTCCCTCTTGTTCCTATGTACAGGGCAGTCCTAATTATCTCCCATTAACTCCCTCCCTGTAGTAGATGCTGTCTGCTCTCACCTCCTCAAGGATATCAGCCATGCTCCTCAGTCTTTCCTATATCATCTGTTTTCTCTGCTCCACTGGATCATTTTCAACAGCACATAGACAAGGCTGATTTTATTTTATCTAAAGAACAAAATGACATACCTCTTTTGGCCCCACCTTTCCCCTTTGACTGTCATCCCCTTTAACTGTCCCATGCACAGCAAAACTCTTTAAATAATACTTTTTTATTTCTACTCTTTCTCATCTACTGATTGTTGTTTAGTCTAATCTCACTCATAACTGGATTAATATTTAGGTAAAACAGCAAACACAACCAACTCCAAAAGGTTTTGTGTTCCCATAGTAGGCTCTTAAAGTTCTTTAGGCTTCTCAGGAAACTATATATACACAAAGTGGTTTTGTGTTTTAATTTGAATTTTGTCATCACAAAGCTTAGTGACAAGACCACAGGAAAAGAGAATATTTAGGTGACTGGTTTTTTAAAGTGAAAAGAGTCAGAATTTGTTTAGAGCTTTAAGTGCATTTTTAAAAATTGAAACCTTGGCTTGCTGCCTATGGCTCAAGTGGCTAAGGCACAAGCCACATACACCTGAGCTGGTGGGTTCAAATACAGCCCAGCCCGCCAAACAACAATGGCAGCTGCAACCAAAAAAATAGCTGGGCTTTGTGGTAGGCGCCTATAGTCCTAGCTACTTGGGAGGCAGAAGCAGGAGAATCTCTTGAGCCCAGAAGTTGGAGGTTGCTGTGAGCTATGATGACACAGCACTCTACCCATGGCAATAGCTTGAGGCTCTGTCTCAAAAAAAAAAAAAAAAATTGAAACCTCATAATTACCTTTTGAAAAAGTAATACTACCTCTATTTTTATAAATTAAAAAATTGGCTCAGCGCCTGTGGCTCAAGTGGCTAAGTCGCCAGCCACATAAACCTAAGGTGGCAGGTTCAAATCCAGCCCGGGCCCACCAAACAATGACAGCTGCAACAACATAAAAAATAGCCGGGCGTTGTGGCAGGCACCTGTGGTCCCAGCTACTTGGAAGGCTGAGGCAGGAGACTCATTTGAACCCAGGAGTTAGAGGTTGCTGTGAGCTGTGACGCTACAGCACTCTACCCAGGAGAACAGCTTGAGGCTCTATGTCAAAATAAATAAATAAATAAATAAATAATTGAGATTCAGGGATTGTTTCTTTCTCCTTTTTTTTTTTTTTTCCTTCTGAAAAAGACAGTGTCTCACTCTGTCTCCCAGGCTGGAGTATAGTGGCACAATTATAGCTCACTACAGCCTTGTGCAGCCTTAAGCTCCTGGGCTCAAGCTATTCTCCTGCTTCAGTATCCTGAGAGCTGAGACTACAGGGACACATCACCACACCTAGCTGAATTTTTTAATTTGTTGTTGAGACAGCGTCTCCTTCTTTTGCCTAGGTCTCCCCCAAGCACCAGGATTTACAAGCATGAGCCAACATGCCCAGCATGTTGGGATTCTAAATGGCTTTTTCAAGGCTACAGAAGTGATGAGTGATGGTTCTGGAATTAAAACCAGATATTCTGGTGTTAAAACCCACATTCTTAGCTGCTACTTCTTTCTACCTTTTAAGCTTAAGATTGCTCTTCATTTTTTTTTTTAAATACTATCTGTATACTAGAGACAAAAATCTTGGTTAATTGAGGCTCTGAGACATTTGCTCATCTGTGGATAGAAATGGCCAGGTTTGCCTAGTACATGCATGATTGTTTAATTCTCTCTTTAATTCATTCTAATCATGTTTTTCCTCCAATCAAGTAGAACTGTTCTTGTCAAGATACCAATGATTTCCATGTTGCAAAATCCAACAGCAACTCCCAGTCCACGTCTTACTTGCTGCACTTGATCATGATCTCATCTTTAAAACTCTTTGTTCACTTAGCTTCTGGGACAACATATTTTCTTGATAGCCTTTCAACCTATCGGACGTCATCATTTCATCTTCTTGATTTCTAAAAGCTTGTAGTGCCCCAGGGGTCAGTCCTCTGCCTTTTCTTCAAATGTATACCCATCCCTCCCATCACAGTGTTAAATACTATCTGTATACTAACAGCACACAAATTTATATCTTCATCC